GCAAAGAACTCATCCTATTGCAGAGACAATTGTACATCCATGTTTGTTGCTGCTCTTTGAACAATACCTAAGAGATGGAAGCAACCTAAGTGTCCCTCAATTGATGAGTAGATAATGAAAATGTGGTTCATTTATACGATGAAGTTTTACTCAGCAGAAAAAAAAGATGAAATCGTGAAATTTGCAGGTAAATGGATGGAACTAGAAACTGTTATACTAAGTGAAGTAACACAGACTCAGAAAAGCAATCAACGTATGTTCTCCCTCATATGTGGATCCTAAAACCAAATTCTGATAAGTGAGTATGTATCCAGACATAGCTACAGGAACCAGGATAATGGAAAGGAACCAGGGAGGTAAAGGAAAAGAAAGAACCTGAAAGAGAAGAACAGTAGGAAACAGGCCTTAATAATGGAGATATGGATAAAAATTGGGTTAGTTTAAGGGTGGGGGGAGGGAAGGGTATACGAGGAACCTAGGGGATAAAGGGAAAGAAGGAGCTCAAGAAAGGTAGGACCATAGGAGAAGGGTATTAGTAAGGGAGAAAGGGGGGAAATGGGGGCACCTTAAGTGGGAAAACTACGGTGGAGGTGTGAGACAATGTGAGAGATAAACAATGCCTAGCTAATTTTGAAAACAGGTAGGAGCCATATTACTCCTACAACCTACTGACAAATTATATATAGCAGATCAAGAAATATATGTCTAGGTAAGATTTATCTGAGAACAACTGGTCTTTGCCCAAGATTTATCTACATGACACACAGTAATTAAAAATACCAGACTGGTGGAACTAACCTTCTTGGGTATTTAACAGACGTACTTTGAGGCCTATAATAATTTGGTCAGAGGGACATAAAGGACACTTTTTGCTCCTTGCCCTCCTAGGTTTACTATTCCAGGGTACTATGAGCATCTCTCAAAATGTCCTATAATGGTGGTGGGTCACCTTTCCTCTTGATCAAGGATGCCAAGGAAACCCCAACAGATGTACTTGAACCAGTGTCCAGTCTATAAAGAGGAGGGTCAACACAGAGGAATCATTTCCTCCATGCTTCCAAGCGAAGCCAACCATGGTGGAGCAGGACCTTTGACTTATCTTCACATAGATGGAACTGGTAAAAGAAAGGAGCCTGGGGCTCCTCCCAAGCCCATGTGACCCCTGAGGAACAGATCCTCAAATGACCTTAAGAGTAAAAATAAGTCAGTTTATCTGGACCAGTTTATCTGTATGGCCTTAAACATCCAAAAGGAAAGTATAACCAAAGACCAAAGGGGCCAATATAATTTCATAAGAGTCCATATGTATAGCTAAAGGCTACATAACAAGCAACAATGCCAGAAAGGCGATACCTTCTTTTGAGTTGTTGGCCAGGGTGGCCAAATGGATTCTCAGATAGTAACCCACCATAGAACTGGGAAAATGATCAGCAGATCCCAATCTTATCCAAAGGAATATTGACAACTGATTACTGCTAGATGAGGAACAGCTGACCTTCCTAAAACAAAGACCTCTAGACAGGCTGACTAGGTTCACCAGAAGGGCAAGTAGTGGGGAATGGCTGGGGTGCTGAGAACACAGCAGACAGTAGGAGGGATATCAGAGTACAAGGGCTCAAGTGTGGGGAGGGAGGCTATGGGAGGGTGCTACCTGGGAAGTGGGTCTAAAAACAAAAATAAATAAATAAATAAATAAATAAATAAATAAATAAATAAATAAGTGAGGAAGACACCTGACATCAATTTCTGGGCCCCACATTCATACATGAATACCCACACATATGTCTATATACATGCAAAGAGGTATACATGCATGCACACAAACCACACACACAAACACACATATACACACACACACAGAAACAGAAACATCAAAAAGGAAATAATAAAGTGCATGTTTCTCTCTCTCTCTCTCTCTCTCTCTCTCTCTCTCTCTCTCTCTTCTCTCCCTCCCTTTGTCCTTTTTATCTCTCTCACATGCACACAAGAACATTTTTTGTTTGAGACAGCTCTTCCTGCAGCCCCAGCTGGCCTGGAATTCACTATGTACAGGCTGGCTTGGATCTCACAGAGATCCACTTGCCTCTGCCTCTGAGTGTTGGAATTAAAGGCGTGTGCCACCATGTTAAGCAAGAACATTCTTTTTATAAGCAAAATAACTTGATAAATTCTTCATCTGCATAAATGAAGCTATAATATGAATAAAAATTGAAATTTAAAATGTAGCGCTCAAAGTACAGTTCAGCCTTCTTCCCACAGCATTAGAGCCCTGCATATTCCAGGATGTGAGAAAAGAAAAACATCCAAAAAAATTGTCAGGAATGTGGTAAGAAGACTTAGCTAATCTTTTCAATGTTTTTATGGTATATGTTAATTGTACAAAACAATGTTTATTGGGACATACTTTGATCATATTCCTGCCCCATTACCCTTTCTTGTCCCTCTTCCCTCACCCCCTGGTTCTGTCACACTTGTGATTTCCTGTCTTTAAGTCTAGACTCTGTATCATGTGACAGTTGTCCTTCTGAGTCTTATGTTACTTAACACGATATCTTCAGTTCCATTAATTTTCAAACAACAAGGCTTCATTCTTTTTTATGACTGAGTAACACTGTACTCTGTGTGTGTGTGTGTGTGTGTGTGTGTGTGTGTGTGTGTCTGTGTGTCTGTGTGTCTGTGTGTCTGTGTGTCTGATCCAGTTTATGCAGTCATTCATTCATGGGCATCTAAGCTGATTCCTTATGGAACTTCACATGACTGATTCCATCTGAATCTGGTCCAAATCCATGTAAGCTGATTCCTTATGGAATTTCACATGACTGATTCCATCTGAATCAGTGGTCCAAATCCATCTAAGCTGATTCCTTATGGAATTTCACATGACTGATTCCATCTGAATTAGTGGTCCAAATGTCATGTGGCTATTGTGGGTGTGCAGACATCTCTATTGTACAATGATTGATTCCTCTAGGTATATACCCAGGAGTGGTACAACTGGATCAGATGACTCAGTATGGAGATTCCTTAAAAAAACTAAAAATAGAAGTAGTTTTCTGAGCTCTTATAATTGAAGAAATAAGTGGAGCGCGTTATCATGCAGGGCACAAAGCCGAAAGCACCCTGGCACAGCCTCTCTCCTCAGACTCCTGTGTGGGGACTTTCCAGTAGAGGGAAAGGCCTTACTACAAAGTTTCCCTTTGAGAGCTACAACCAGTTTTGTAACCTTGGGTCTTTGATGCTGTCTCTTTATTAACAGTGCTGATAAAGGAGGACTTATATAAGAAGATATATCAAGCCTCATATTAAAGCCTGGTCTCCTTGGATTTAGCTGATCATTTCCATAGGTTCATTAAGGACTGTTATTCACCATAGAAACTTTTTGGTTTGCTTTGCAGAATTGAGCCATAAGGTATTGAATAATTCCAAATTTGCTTCTATCTAGATGTTATCATAAGGAATCATAGAGTGGACTTCTAAGTGCAAGCATCTATTGTTTGCTGTCCCAATAAGAATAAGAAATCAAGCCCAAGAAACTGCATCAAAATTTATCTCTAGCATGTAAATATTAAGGTGAATTCTTTTCTTTTTTCTTTTTCAGAAAATGTTGCAAAACATTTACCCAAAAACCTTGCCTAAAAGTGATCTGCTTTACTCTTTGTAGGCCTGGATTTCTGACCTGGGCCAATGTTCAGGGAGGACTTGGTTAGACATTGACTTAAATTCAGGCAAACTTTGTTTCCTAAAATGGCAGGTTATAACTGGTGACACCGCTATATTCTAAGGAAGGCTTTCGTTGCCTAACTGATAGGACACAAAGCAAGACAGACTCTTACTAACTTTTCGTAAACAATGGTATTGCCCTGAAACAAAGGTGGTGAGTTTCTGAATGTGGAGGAGGGTAACGTGTCAAGGGATCAGTTTCAAAATGTTTTATCTTCGCTTACAGATCAGAATTTACTAATCTAATTGTGAGTTGCAGATAGCATAAAAAGGAAGAGGAAGGGTTTCTATGATAGCTAAGAAATACAACTTTAAGACAAATCAATTAAATTCCCCCCAAAAAAAAACCAAACCAATAAACCTCTCATCAGTTCATTCACTTCTGTGTAATTGTTAGTCTGTATTCTGATGTCTGACAAATGTGTAATGTGTAAGGAAGAGACAGTGATTTAGCAGATAGTTTTGGAGGCTGAGAGAACAGGCTGAGTGTCTCCATCATTCCAGTTCATGGTCAGAGTCTTCTGGCTGCATCCCAACATGGCAGATGGCATCATGGCAGGAGCATATTTGAGAGGAAGAACAGTCACATGACAAGACAGGAGGCAAGGGTGATTTAAGGGCCAGGTTTGCTCTTTTAATAATTCACTGTTAGAAACCGACAGGGTCCTTTGAGAGCTACATTTATGTTTTCAAAAGTGGTACCTCCTCCACATGACTCATCTTGCAGTATGCCCCCCCTCCTCTTCCTCCTCCCCCTTTTCAGTTTGATTTGGTTTTTCAAGGTAGAGTCTTGCTGTGTAGCCTAGGATATCCTCAAACCTGTAATCTTCCTGTCTCAGCCTTCCAGAATACTGAATTTACAGATATATATCACAACAGCTGGCCTAGCTCTTAAGGATTCCACCATCTCTGGAGTCATGAATAGACAGGGAAGGATTGTGGCAGGCAAGACAGGCGGCACTTACAACCTTTTCATTTTGGAAAGTGCTTTGGTCCACACTTATTTCCTTCTATTCAGTGGACTAGAAGATACAGACTTTTAACAACATATTTTCTACATTTGATGATGAACTAATTTAAACCAGATGAACTAATTGTTCCACAGGACATGGGAATTCAACTTCAGCCCAGAAAATCCCTGACATCTGACATAGGAGGATTTGCAGGTTTAGTGGAAATTGCTTTCTCCTGCTGGCCAGATTATAGATTGCTGGTTGGTTTTTGCAGGAGTAAACATCCCTCTAAAGACAAACAGAGCAATATCTTAAGGGAGTAAAGAACACTGGCTCCTTCTCCCGGCTTCTTGGGAGAACTGTTTGATTTGGAAATCCATGTTGGCTGTCCAGAATATGAAATTTGGCATCTTTCTTTTGTGGTGGGGATGGGTTTTGGTCACTGAGAGCAGCATAGCATGCTGGCCAGGAAAAGGAGTTCACAAGCCATCCCGGGAAGGCAGGTGAGTGACATGGAGGGACAAAGGAGTTAAGGAAAGAGTGTAAAGTGGGATCTCTGAGTCCTTCCAGTGCTGTGTTGTTGCTGGCTCTGTGCTTGCCGGAGCCTTCTTCCTCCTTTCCCTTTGTGGAAATTAGAATTGGGTTTTATTTTACAATGATACATCACTTGATAGTATCATGTATTCTTAAATTGGATATTAATTATCCTGGATAAAAGAAAGATTCTGGAAAAGAGAATATTGTACAAATTCTGAAAACTGGGGGTCATTCTTTGATGTCTGCATTCACCTTGGGTTGGAACAAACCTTTGAGTTCTCAAAGGCCCAGTGGAACTTGTGATCTGGGGAAAAGATTCTAGAATTTCTAATGATTTCTGTTACAAATGTGGGGCTCTTTGCAACCTTGTTTACAAGCAGTTTTCTTCAGGCCAAGTGGCTAATAGGATCATTAGATTGTCCCCCACCTGTAATTTGCGAGGGGCAAGGACAGTACGTGCTGCCCTGGCCGTAGCAGACTGCACAGATGGAGCTTAGGCTGCAAGAGGCCAGCAGCCCTAGACCTCACTTGGGGGCTCCAGTCACACTGACCTGGTATGCCCCCTGTGCACCTTCCTGCCCTGTATCATCAGTCACTGGGGCACTGGAGGCTTCCTCCCCACCCAGCACTCCTTCTTTACTGAGGAGAAAATGGAGTCAGAAAAGGGGATCCTTGAGTTTGGGTCATCAGTTTTAATTCCAAACCCAAGTTTAGTTTTCCTTATATTTGAAGGTATATCTGAAGAGACAAAAATGTACTCCCTCCTGGGGTTTGAGAGAGTCCTCCCCACAATGTTCTGTGTCTGTGGACACTTGGATTGATACCATAACCTGGCTATTGTGAACAATGCTGCACTGAATATGGACGCTCAGACATCTATTCAAAATACTGAGTTCAAAACCTTTAGATGTAAACTCTGAATAGGATTGCTGAGTTATATGATGATTCTACCTTCCATTTCTTAAAGAACCTCATGTTTTTTTGCAATAACTGTATTAATTTACAGCCTCACCAAAAGTGCACAAGAGTTACCTTTTCTTCACTTCTTTCTGACACAGGCTTTTTGAGTCTCTACTGGCCACTTGTATGGCCTCTTTTGAAAAAGAAAAACTGTAGGTAGGCAGGTGTCTTTGTCCTATTTTAAATATCGTTATTCATTTCATTTTGTTTTGTTATTGAGTTGAATTCCCTATGAATTCTTGGTAATAACCCATTTTCAAATGAAGACCTTGTAAATATTTTCTCCCAGTCTATGAGTTACCACATCATTCAAATCATTGTTCTCTTTACCGCGCAGAAGCTTTTTGGTTTAACCCGATCCCATTGCGTAGTTTGGCTTTTCTTGTGTTTGAGGTCTTACGCAGAACATCATTGCCAAGATCCATCTTATGTGGTTTTCCTCTGTGTTTCCTACTCAAAGTTTTATAGTTTCAGATTTTACACTTAAGTCTGTTTTGTTTGCTTGTTTTGTTTTAGGAGACAAGGTCTCCTTGAAACCATAGCTGGCCTAGAACTCACTATATAGACCAGGCTGGCTTCCAACTCATAGAGATCTGCTTGCCTTTGCCTCTGCCTCCAAGTACTAGGATTAAAGGTATGCACCATCATGACCTGCTATACTTAAGTCTTTAATCCATTTTGAATTCATTCTTCATTTTGATTATTTGTAGTATAAGAGTGCACTTTCTTCCTTCTACATGCAAATGATCAGTTTTGCATTTATTGCATTTATTGAACAGACTGTTCTTTTCCTAGTGTGTGTTCTTGGTGCCTTTGTCAAAATCAATTGACTATAAATATAAGCATTCAAAACTAGTGACATAGTTCAGTGATAGAGCACTTGCCTAGCACACAAAGGCCCTAGGTTCAATCCCCAATGAATAAGTTCATTTCTGGTCTCTATTCTGTTTCACTGATACCTATTTTTATGCTAGTACCATGTTGTTTTAGTTACTATAGCTTTGTAATATCATTAGAAATCAAATAGCAAGGTGTCTCCAGCTTTGTTCCTTTTGCTTAAGATTTTGAGTTGGTCATTTGGGGTCTTCTGGGGTCCTGTCTACATTTTAGCGTTGCTTTTTATCTCTGAGCTCTGCCATTACAATTACCACAGGGATCACAGTGAATCCATATATTTCTTTGGGTACTGTAGACATTTTAGCAATTTAATCCTTGGGCAATAAGATGGCTCAGTGGATAAGGGCACCTGACACCAAGTCTGTTGACCTGAGTTTGATCCCTGGGATCTACATGGTGGAAGGAGGGAATCAAATTCCACAGATTGTTTTCTAACCTCCACACTTGTGCATGCATGTACACACCACACACACACACACACACACTAAATAAATACATGCAAAGTAAAAATAAACATTGAATTGTTCCAGTCTATGAACATGGGATATCTTTGTATTAATTCTATCTTCAGTATCAATTTTTATTATTTTTAATGCACAGATTTTTCACTTCCCTGGTTAAATTTATTCTTAAGTATTTTATTTTTGTAGATATTGTAAATGGGATTGTTTGGTCAACTTCTCTTTTCGACAGTTCACAGCTAGTGTATAGAAACACTCCTGTTTGTGTACTGACTTGCATCTTCACCTTTACTGTGCTCAGGTATTCTGATAGTTTTAAGGTAAACTCTACGCTTTCTATATTTGATCTTATGTGGTTTTCCTCTGGTGTTTCCTATTCAAAGTTTTATAGTTTCAGATTTTACACTTAAGTCTGTTTTGTTTGCTTGTTTGGTTTGTTTTTGGAGACAGGGTCTCCTTGTAACCATCATCAAATAACAACTTTGCTTTTTTTTTCTGTCTACATTCCTTTGATTGCTCTCACCTAACTGCCCTACCACACACTTGCAGTAAGTTGAATGGAACCAGAGAGTTTTCGTCTCTGTCCTACTCCTACAGGGTGAAATTTACTCTTTTCAAAAGTTACTTGTCAGATTTTTTCATTTTTTATTCTGAAATATGGAAATTCGTAATAAATATGGAAATTATTTTTTAAATATGGGAAAAACTGAAATACAGAGAGTCACTCATAATCTCGAATGCTGGAAGGAAACTGGCTAACGTGTCTGTGTACTCCTTTCTGGTCTTTTATTCTTAGTATAGTCTGACTATTAACTAGGTTGGAATTACTCTGTGACTATTTGTAAATTTTTGCATTTAATCTAATTTTGCCTCTATGTTTGCTTAGTAGCTGCATAATCATGTATAATATGCATAACATGCAGTGTACCACCATTTAAGCATTTCCCTCTACTTATTGACATTAATTGATTCCTCTTTGTTATTATTAAATATTATTTTTATGTTAAGAGTATATTGCCTACATGTATGTAAGTGTACTTGTGTCATGCAATGCCCACAGAGGTCAGAAGAGGGCATCGGATCTCCTGGAACTGGAGTTACAGATGGTTGTTAGCTGCCATGTGAGTGCTGAGAATTGAACCCAGGTCCCTGCAAGAGTTTCCAGTGCTTTTAACTGCTGAGCCATCTCTCCAGTCTGCCTCTTTATTATTATAAATATTATGCATGATTGTTTAGTTAGGATAGACTTCTGAAAGTGTCCTGTCAACTAGCAGGAAAACATTTAAAGCTCTAGGTACAGGCCTGTGAAATGGTTCAGCAAGTAAAGTCACTTGCCTGCCAAGCTTGAACACCCAATTTCCATCCCCAGGTCCTACAAGGTAGAACGTAAGAAAAGCTCCTGCAAGTTATTTTCTGACCTCCACACATGCACCATGGCATGTATGCCCTCCACAAATGGATAAATGTATAAAAAATTAAAGCTCTAGGTAGATTGGGCTAAACTTTTTTCCAAAACAGAAAGTGGACTCAATTTATACCCCATCCTTTAGGTTAAAATTTATTTTTATGTTTCACTTAGATTCTAAACCCATAAGCTGCTAGCAATTTGTATCCAGGCTTCTGTTCATGGTTCATGTCAATAAAAAAGGAAGCAAGGTAAACACAGACACACATGAGTTAGCGGGGGAATTGTCTGGGGTGCAGAATTGAATCTGCACAGTGAGAGTGGCCACCCCTTTATCGTTGTGTGGCATCTCACCTGCCTTTCTCAAGTCATTGCACTAGCAAATGACTAGTCTTTGAAAAAAAATCTCCTTGGAAGACCAGGTGGAGCTTGCCTTCATTCATTCTTCAGGGCACTTGGCAATGTTTCTAGAATGAATGAATGGGTACTTACTATCCTTCCTCTCTTTGCTGGAAGGCTGGAAACATGACTATCTGTACTACAGGCCCCTGGGCAAATGCCAGATCAGGCTGTGGAAGGCAAATTGATTCCACCTGAAGCCATAACCAGTACTAAACATCTTCACTTCCTGTGAAGGTAAAGAGACCCAAATGGCTTCAGCAGATTTCCATCTCAGAGAGATCCTGCTTGCTTGCATACCAGGCAATATGGTGTGATATGGATAGAAGGGTCCCAGAAGGGAGACAGAGGAAATAGCCAGAGGCCGTGCCTGGAACAGGTAAGAGATGGCAAACGGCTCATCTGGGATAATATTGGAATAAGCAGGGATGGGGGAGATGGAGCTGAGAGCTTTGGAGAGTTGCCAGGATTTACATGGCATTAGGGTAAATGTCCAGTAGGCATTTGGACTGTTTGACTGGGTAAGAGGTGGTGTCAGGGACAGGAGAGCAGGAAGCATGTGGCCTTGGATGCACTTGCAGGATACTGAGACACCTGTCCATTCACAGGAAGAGAAATAGGTGTGCAGCTCAGGGGAACCAGGCCTGAAGATATAGATTTAAAGGGAGTCTTCATGGGCAGTGGTGGACAAGGGACCCAGAGAGGAAATATGGCATGAAATAAGAGCAGGATCAAAGACAGACATTGGGGAAGAAGAATATTTAAGAAGTCAGAGGAAGTGGGTATAGTAAGGTAGGCCTGTAGTCCCAGCTACTTGGAAGGCACTCCAATGAGGTGTCAAGGGTCAGAGGAGGGAGTGGTCAATGGGGTAAGATTACACCAAGATCAGAATCAGTCAGGTAGAGGACCAAAAAAATGATCCGGGATATAGCACCCCAGCACCATTCACAAGAGACTGGTGTCAGTGGTTAGGTAGAGAAGACTTCCATAGCTCACTGTTCCAATTCCTGGGCCAGAGGGTGTGGCTGGAGCCAGGCAGAGAATTTAGCAAGTTCTTCTCTAACAGCACAGTAGTGCAGGGCCTCTCCATGACACTCTTTTTTGTGTTTTGATGTTTCTAACAGCTAATACATTTGATCAGCTGAGGGAATGTCATGCATTAAGTGAGGATTACACATGTTCCAAGTCGTATAAACACAAAGTGAATAAGAAGAAATTGCTAAACAGAAGTTGTTCACAAGGGAGTGGCGTAGACAATGGAGACAGCTCCAAGGCAGAAAGGCCTTTCCAAAGTAACTGAGGACATGCAATAGGCAATTCCCATCAAAGGGAATATTCAGAGCTTTAAATGTAAACACAGTGTCTTCAAGAAGGAATGAGCAGGGTGCTTATATTCGGACATGTACCAGTAAAAAAGGGAAGATCTAGGTAGAGACTACCTGAGGCTCAGGCAGACAACATTCTCCATGTGTGCTTCTTACAAAAGGGTAATGAAGCAGGCCTGGGTGTTAGTGACCCACCAAATTGTTGGGAACAGACGTCAGTGACGGTGACAGACCAATGACCATAAGACAGTGATATGGAAAAATTCTTCTAATAGCTAAGAGATCAAACCTGAGAGAGAGGTGAAAAACTCCTTTATTCTTTTCACATGCATGTGGTCCCAGAATTGGCAATAAAGGCTTCAGGATTTTCTGGGCCCCAAACAGAAGTACAGATGAGATTATATAAGCCTTTTCACATGATCTTTTTATGCCTGGCCCCTGGGCCTTATGTCTATTTTCATGATGGGCCATGTTATCTTGGGAAAAATTCCTTCCTGAATTCACCAGGTCATCATAGTTTACCAAGTAGATTTCTCAGGCATAGGTCAGGACATCTGCAGCCTTTGATCTGTAGCTAGGTCAGAATAATTGGACTAGGAATCAGTCAAACAGTCACTGCAGTTTACAAAAACAAATATCACTGGCAGAAGTTTAGGTGTCTGTCACATTTGATCTATGGTTTTTTTGGACTAATTGGACCACGTGCCTCGTTAAACCATTTGGTGAACTTTCAATTTTCTTAGTTTTACATCTTTATCAGCAGTTAGACACAGTAAGTGGAAAGCATCATAGACTTTCAAAATGTTACAGAGTAATAAAACATTTCAAGGTAGTGAAAACATCATAGAGCGATAGAGGCATCACTGCATAGTGAGACATCACAGGGTTGCATTTCAAGATATCTGCCTAGTAAATAAAATAAAAGGAAACTATACAAAATAGTTTGTTTAAAAGAAGATTATGTAAGAATACAGTTAGAGCTGGACGTGGTGGCACATGCCTTTGATCCCAACACTCAGGAGGCAGAGGTAGGTGGATCTCTGTGAGTTTGAGGCCAGCCTGGCCAGGCCAGCTGGGGCAAACTGGAAGTGGAATTCCTCTGGGTTGGAAAAGCTTGGTCTTTTCTCTCAAGGTTTTCAACTATTAATGAGGCTCACCCCAATATGGAGGGTAATTTACTCTCTGCTTACTGATCTGAATGTTTATCACATCTTAAAAAATACCTTCACAGGGACATCTAGACTTGTGTTAAACCCCAGACTGTGTACCTAGCAAGTTTACAAAAAACTGAGCATTGAACATTTTAGAGTATGTAACTCAAAAAGCAGATTATCAGTTATCCAGAATTCACTTAGTAAGGAATCAAAGGAGATAAACTATTTACACCTGAGGGAAAATAGAGTCTATTCGTCATGTGGAACGTGTACAAGCTCTAACACAATCCAGGAAACAACACATGTGCACCATCCCGGAGCATCCTCATAAGAATCAGGTACATGTGGGCACTGACAGGTCTATATCTGCAGGCTCTGGCCAGGGACTACCCCTTCCAGTGTGGCCTTGGGGAGCAGGACTGGAGCTGCAAGTACTGCTCACCTCCAGGGATGCTGCCCCCTGCAGCAGATGCTAGTGCCCTCAGAACCGTCTTGAAGCCCAATCCCTTCTTTCTTTTTGCAGTGGTGGGGTGGATTGAGACAGGGTCTTGTTATGTAGCCCAGACTGGCCTTGGAACTGGGATCAATCCTCCTGCCTCAGTCTCCTGAGCACTGGGATTACAGACAGTCACCTCCATGCCTGGCTCTATTCCCTTCACAATTAAGGGCATGGCCAGTGACATGAAACTTGCCAGGTCTGCCATGGGTCAGAAAAAAAAAAAAAAAAAACAGGGTTCAAGGTAACACACTGATGTCCTAACTGCCTAGTGTCTTTGTGCTGCCCCAGCTCACTGCCTCTGGGAATTGTACCCAAGAGCCATGCCCACAGCTACCCAAGCAGAAAGACTGCAGAAACCAGAGGGGCAGCTTGGTTGGCCCGAGGTAACCAGCAGAGCAAAGCCAGGTGTTTGGCCAGTCCCCTGCCTTGCCTTCTCCCGCTGTCTCCCCAGCATGGCCATCCTGCTCCTGGCTGCTCCTTGAGTGTAGTGAGTTCCACCTATGGCTTTTGTCTACACTTTGCCTCTTCCTGAGCACCAGCTGTCACTTTCTCATGGAAGTTCCTTGGTCACTTGTATAACACAACCACCTCAGCACCCTCTCCCTCAACCAGTATCTTCTTATCTTAGCCAGAGTCAGAACAGGCCAACTTGTTTTCTATTCCAACCTCCTTGCTCAGTCTCTCTTGTCTCTCTCGTATGCTTATATTATGGGGGCGGGGGAGCGGAGGGCGGCACTGATTTTGTCCTCATTCAACCACCCCATGCTGAGAGTCCATTATGGTTAACTCTGCTCAGGTGCTGGATGTGCCTGAGACCCTGACCTCAGTGGCCTATCCCCTCTCCTGCCTTAGCTTTCCCAACTCTTGCCCCTCTCCTGCATGCTCTGCTCTACTGTGCTACAGGTGACATAATCCCTGTGCATCTGTCCTGATATGTGCCTTTGTACCAGTGGAGTTGGCAAGGAAAATGGTATTGCACTCAGGGGCTTAACCAATGATAATGGAAAACAAGGACTCCTCACAGAGATGTGGGCAAAGTTCAGGGCACTAACTAGACATGCTGATGCTGCCCCCCACCAAGGATGAGGAAGACTAGGAAGTCATGTACCCCAGGCAAAGGCACAGGGCATTGCTAGTCAGCAGCATGGTGGGAGAGAGGCAGAGGAGAAATAAAAGCTCCAGCCTCATTCTCTCTCATCTCCTGCTTGCTGTGTCCACTTGGCCAAACTTCTGCTGGAGGAAAGGCTGAGAGGACACTGCTCACCTGGCAGCATTGTTTCTCAGTTTTATGTTGGATCCAAGTTAGAATGCACAACTCTTAACCTTCTGAAAGAGTGGTTTAATTTCAATCCTGGGTAGATGTGTGTGTGTGTGTGTGTGTGTGTGTGTGTGTGTGTGTGTGTGTTGCTCTCAGGAGAGGAAGGGGTTTAAATCAGATCTCTGCAAATCAGGCCTTCTAAATAATTAATCCTCATTCCCTGCTCCTGTGGGTACTTGGAAAATGTTCATCAGAAGGCCAGATTAATACATTGAGCCTCTTTTCCCCCTCTCCATTTTATTCTGACTACATTTGAAGCATACATAGAGGACGAGGGTTGCTTTATTGATATAGTTACTAGACAGTCTCTAAAACATCTTTATTTTTTGTTTTCATAGTAGACCTCAAAGACAGAGAAGAGAAGCACAGGACGATGCCCACAAGCAAGGCAGGTATGGTGCCAGACAAGGATCAGGAAGGGGGTAGGGGAGCCCAGCAGGAGGTGGATCAGGCTGGGTGGGAGACCTGTCCATGTCCTCTCTCTCTCCTTTAAGGCTTTGCTTCCTCTCAGAGCCTTAAGTGTGTGGCTGCACCAATCCTTTTGCTGGACCACCACTTCCTCCGCTGCCGTGGGTGATCCCTCACTGTAGCCACTCCCGCCTGTGCTCAGCAAGGGCTCCTTCCCTTTGCATGCCTCTTTGTAGTTTGAAAAGTACCGCCCCCCACACGTCTCAATTAACTTTACACCCCAGTCCATGCACAAAGCTTCACTTTTTTTATGGGTTGGGGAAACTGCTGTGAGGGAAATGAGCCAGCTGCATAAAGGCAGGTTCTGGAGAGAAAAGAGCTCTAGTTTTCTGCCCTCCTCTTCATGGTTCCTCCTGTGCACTAGAGGTTCCTTCAGGGGAGAGAGCAAGTGCTGAGAGCTGAGCAGAGCCAGTCACAGGGGTGGAGCTGGGCAGAGAGAGGATAAAATGTGCCTAAAGGGTTCCTAGGCATCCCCTGCTGATCCCAGCATCAGCAACCTTGCTAGAGATGCAAATTCAGGGGCCTCAGCCCAGACTTCTGCACCAGACAGTGGGCAGTGAGGTTCAGGACCTAGAATTTAATGAGCCCCCTGGGAGGTACTGATGCTTGCCAAGAGTGGGAGCCTGTGCACTGGGGAAAGGAAGTGTGTGTGTGTGGGGGGCTGTGTCCCTAGAGAGGACACTGTCTGATGGCAGCATTAGGAGCTAGGGAGGAGGTTACTTATTTCTAAGGATTCCAAGGGTTATGCTGTAGGAAATGAAGAATGCTTAAGGCACTGCTTACTGTATGGAAGACCCAGAGCGGCTCCCCTGTTTGATAGGGAGGACCAGTCACATGGACAGTGGTACATCCATTCATGATGCACTATGCAGTGCATGGGGCACTCCCATGTGGGAAAAAAAAAACCTCTAAGGGATATTAAATGATAGAAAATCAAGCTAAAGAACAGCTCATGTAACATTAACTAAAGAAAGGCAAACTAGGGCTGGAGAGATGGCTCAGTGGTTAAGAGCACTGACTGCTCTTGCAGAGGACCTAGTTCGATTCCCAGCACCCACATGGCAGCTACAGACTATCCTTAACTCCAGTTCCAGGGGAATCCAAAGCCCTCTTCTGACCTCCACGGCATTTCACGACACAGGTGCACTCACATACATGCCGGCAATACACTCATACACATAAAATAAAAATAATAAATAAAACATTAAGAAAGGCAAACTAAGACTATATATTTGTGCTTTCTTCTTTTTTTCTGTGCTTTCTTATTTCTATAACAAGCTCTGCAGATAGGAAATCAATAAGACAATTATCTGTGGATGGGTTACTACATTTAAAAATTTAGCTGCGTTAAGTTGTACGATTCTCTTAATTGCTCTAGTCATGACTTAATATTATTGTTCCACTGTCAAACCTCGAAAATTATATTAGGTTTTTCAGAATTAATATGAATGCCAAGATAACTTGAGGTTGTAACTGAGCAATTTAGAGATGTCAGATGTTTTATAAGTGCTGTTTTGTTAATTTGCCAAAGAAATACTGATCTACATTCTCTGGAAACTGAGAAGCAATTTTTATATTTTAAAATATATTTAAAATGTACTTATATATACAAAAAAAAATTTAGCTGCATTTATAAAATGCCAAACCCTGCAAATACATTATATATGCAGAAAAAACAAAAACAAAAATAACTAAAAGTGGCCCTATGTGCAATTCAGAAGGCAGTTCTTAGGGAAACAAGGTCCTCAGTATTTGAGTGGGCCCTATCCTCCCTCCACAGAGTGACCAAGGAAAGTGAAAGGCATGAGGTTCAGCTGTGCAATCAGCTTCCCCAACCTCAGCCTTCCCTGAGGTCACAGCTCCCCCTCAGCCTTCCCTGAGGTCACGGCTTCCCCCTCAGCCTTCCCTGAGGTCACAGCTTCCCCCTCAGCCTTCCCTAAGGTCACAGCTCCCCCTCTCAGCCTTCCCTGAGGTCACAGCTCCCCCTCAGCCTTCCCTACGGTCACAGCTTCCCCCTCAGCCTTCCCTAAGGTCACAGCTCCCCCTCTCAGCCTTCCCTGAGGTCACAGCTCCCCCTCAGCCTTCCCTACGGTCACAGCTTCCCCCTCAGCCTTCCCTAAGGTCACAGCTCCCCCTCTCAGCCTTCCCTGAGGTCACAGCTCCCCCTCAGCCTTCCCTACGGTCACAGCTTCCCCCTCAGCCTTCCCTAAGGTCACAGCTCCCCCTCTCAGCCTTCCCTGAGGTCACAGCTCCCCCTCAGCCTTCCCTACGGTCACAGCTTCCCCCTCAGCCTTCCCTAAGGTCACAGCTCCCCCTCTCAGCCTTCCCTGAGGTCACAGCTCCCCCTCAGCCTTCCCTACGGTCACAGCTTCCCCCTCAGCCTTCCCTAAGGTCACAGCTCCCCCTCTCAGCCTTCCCTGAGGTCACAGCTCCCCCTCAGCCTTCCCTACGGTCACAGCTTCCCCCTCAGCCTTCCCTAAGGTCACAGCTCCCCCTCTCAGCCTTCCCTGAGGTCACAGCTCCCCCTCAGCCTTCCCTACGGTCACAGCTTCCCCCTCAGCCTTCCCTAAGGTCACAGCTCCCCCTCTCAGCCTTCCCTGAGGTCACAGCTCCCCCTCAGCCTTCCCTACGGTCACAGCTTCCCCCTCAGCCTTCCCTAAGGTCACAGCTCCCCCTCTCAGCCTTCCCTGAGGTCACAGCTCCCCCTCAGCCTTCCCTACGGTCACAGCTTCCCCCTCAGCCTTCCCTAAGGTCACAGCTCCCCCCTCAGCCTTCCCTGAGGTCACAGCTCCCCCTCAGCCTTCCCTACGGTCACAGCTTCCCCCTCAGCCTTCCCTAAGGTCACAGCTCCCCCTCTCAGCCTTCCCTGAGGTCACAGCTTCCCCCTCAGCCTTCCCTGAGGTCACAGCTTCCCCCTCAGCCTTCCCTGAAGTCACAGCTTCCCCCTCAGCCTTCCCTGAAGTCACAGCTTCCCCCCTCAGCCTTCCCTGAGTCTGACCTGTCATTTGGACTTGGACCAGTACGTAGTTCCTAGTCTTGGTTGCACATTAAATCACCTGAGAAGCTTTTTGCCCTTTAGTGCTAGTGACGGATGGAACCCAGGGTCTTGCCTATGCCGGACAGACATTCCACCTCTACATTGTACCCCCAGCCCTGGGAAACCAAAAGCGAACACAAAAAACTTACCCCTGTTTCCAGACTCCTATTCTCAGATGATCCAAATCTGAATCTTGGAGGCAGGGTTGGGACATTGCTATTTTAGAAGTTCCTCTACGTGGTTGAGAACCACTGTCTTGGAACTTCTGGGTCAATTTCTTTATCCAGAAAGTTGGAGAAAGGAAAGGGGGTGGCTCAGGGAAGAAATAGCACACCCTGTGAATCCACAAGAGTAAGCAGAACACGGGTGGCTTTGACCTGCCTTGGTTGGCATGTGTGATCAGCCTCCTTACCCTCTTGTGGCAGCCCATTTCTGAAACAAAGTTCTGATATCACCAAGTCACCTCTCACCAAGTCAGAGCAGCTACTGAGGATCGACGACCACGATTTCAGCATGAGGCCTGGATTTGGAGGTATGGGATGCGCACTGTCAGGGGAACTTCTTTCACAGTGTTCTTCTGACTGTGACAGGACTTCAAACCACCCAGCTGCACTGATAGATCTGCCTTAGCTGAGCTTGGTGGGCTGAGCACTTCCTGAACATCTATCCTCCATGCCACAGGCTCTACTGGGCATTGTCAGAGCACCTGTGTGGGTACCCAGGTGGGGCAAGCCAGCTGTCCCTGGACGGTGTTCCTGGGAAGACTCACTCAAGATCTGTGGGGCAGACACTCCTGTGGCAGCTGCAGTCAAAGCTGCCTCCTGGGAATGCTTTGAAATTCCATGCAGCCACCTTGAACTGAATTTGTTCTCATCTGGGAGCTCGCAGATGAACGCTGCTTACATATCGGAGTGTGGTGTGCTGGGTCTAATGGAATGAAAGCTGCTTGAGAGAGTGATGAGGCACTGTAGAAGAACGTAAAGTCTTTAAGGCTTACCCTGTGGCTGCTGGGTTTCAGCCCTCTTACTGTCCAGTGGATTTTCCTCCCTGTGGATTTGGTTTATTCTCTTCTTTTAAAGTTAAAAATTTATTTTTTATTTATTATTTTTATTTTATGTGTATGAGTGTATTACCTGTATGTAAATATACCTGTATTGTGTAATGCCTATGGAGGTCAGATGAGAGCATCAGATCCCCTGGAACTGGAGTTACAGGTGGTTGTTAGCCAACATGTGGGTGCTGGGAACCAAATCCTGGTTCTCTGCAAGAATAGCCAGTGCTCTTAACCACTGAGCTATCTCTCCAGCACCTGGTTTATTATTTTTTGAAACATTTATTTATTTATTATTTATTCATTTATTTATTTGGGAGAGTGCAGTGCTGTGCACATCACAGCACACGTGTGGAAGTCAGAGGACAACTTGTGGGAGTCAGTTTTCTCCTTCTACCGTATTTATTCAGGGGATCTAACTCAGGTCATCAGGCTTGGTAGGAAGCATTTCTACCTGCTGGGCCACCTCAGTTTCCCAGGTTTGTTTTATTTTCTGGAGAAAAATATTTGTTTTAGAAATTACTTTTTATGGATATGTGTATGTAAGTGCATATATATGTGTGTGTGGATGTACATGTATATGGAGGCCAGAGGACAACCTTCAGCATCCTCCTTAGGAACACTGTCCACTTCCTTTGAAGCAGGGTCTCTCACTGGCCTGGAGCTCACCAATTAGGCTAGACTGGCTAGCCCGTGAGCCTCAGGAATCTTCCTGCCTCTGCCTCCCCAGCACTGGGGCTCACACTACCATTGTTACATGGGTTCCAGGCTGAACTCAGGTCCTGTGCTTGCAAAGCAAGAGGCTCTTACTGGCTGAGCCATTCCTTCAGCCCCGTAAAAATCATTTATTCATTCTGTCATCTGTACTGTTGCATCTAAACTTCATCTGACTGACATCTCAATTCCTCTCACTGCTTTTAATGAGAATGGCACACTGCTTATGGTGTTTTGATATGTTAATCAAGCACACCTACATTCATCCACTGTCTCAGTGGAGGACAAAGTTAGGTCCTGAGGAATTAAGATCAGGTTCCCAGGTCACAAGAGGAGCACATGGCTCAGTGAGCTTGTTTACCTCATAACTTTTTGGTTGCAGGGGGAGATAGAAGCCATTAGTCCTGATTATGTCCATACAGTAAAAGTCATTCCTACAGCTGCTCCCTGGACCAGACCCAGATTTGACCCAGGTCTTTCCCATAGCTTCAGATGAGCATATGAAACCAGAGGAGGATTTCTGTTTTCATCTCATCATTCCAGAATCATCTGGGCAATTCAGGCCAAAGTACTTTTATTATTATTTAATATTTTTGGTTGGGACAGTCCAAGTGCCAGCCCATGCACCCATTCTTTATTATTTGACTTCAGGTGGGTGTTGGCCAAACCTTCTCATGTTTGACTCTGACATGACTCCAAAGTTCCAGAGGAAGCAGTTGTTTGCCTGTCTCTTACATAGTAAAAGCTCTAGTGAAAAGAAAGAATGTTGCTTGGTGTGACTCCTATAATCCTAGCACTTGGGAGGCTGAGGCAGGAAAATTGAGAGTTTGAGGGCAGCAAGAACAAGTGAGTTCCAGGTCAGAATGGACTACATAGTAAGACTGTCTCAAAAAAGGAAAGAAAGGGAGGGAGGGAGGGAGGGAGGGAAGGAAGGGAGGAAGAAAGAAAAAGAAAAGGAAAGAAAGAGAAAAGCAAGAGTGAATGGTTGTGCATGTCCTTCCCCAGGCCCAGCCATCCCTGTTGGTGTGGACGTGCAAGTGGAGAGTTTGGACAGCATCTCAGAGGTTGACATGGTGAGTGCTGTTGAGTCCAGGGTCCTGGGCAGGGAGGGAGGCTCACATGGGCCTGTTTCTGGGCAGGAGTTCCACAGCTTCAGAATTCCTTGGCAGGTGGGAATTGTCACACACACTTTACAGATGACTCCGAGATTGCATCATTTGTCCAGAGCTCCCTGTTGGCATGAGAAAGAGTCAAATAACAAACTTGGTCTTTGGTGGATGCTGTCTGAGATGCAGGCCTAAGTTTCAGTCACCCTGTAGCCAAGCCCACCATACTCCTGTAAAGCCTGTGCTTGGCTCTGGACATGCAGGAACAGCAAGAATATCCTTTTTTTTTTTTTTCTTCTGTTCGGTGAATTCAGATTTAAAAAATAAAAACAATGTTCCCAGCCTGGCATGGTGGTACAAGCCTGTGATTTCAACACAGGAGGCAGAAGGAGGGATGAGTCTGTGTTTGAGACCAGTGTGGTCTACTTAGGAAGTTCCAGACCAACCTGGGCTACATTAGGAGACTCTGTCAAAAGGGCAGTATGGGTAGGAGTGGGGTGGGGTCATTCTACAAGTTAGAGGACTTTTCAGAATGTTCTCTTGGTTTGGAGCCCCCAAGCAGGCCTGAAACAAGCATTCTAGCATGTATATTGGGGGCATGCTCCCAGAAACACTGAGTAAGACAGCGAAGCTACATATCCAGCCAGCCACTCCTACAGTCCTCCTCACATGGGGCTCCAGTAAGCAGCAAAGAACACAGCTCAGCCTAGCCTAGGACTGGGAACGGGAGTGGTCATCCACCAGGCTCTTCTCCAACTGACACCAACAATGGCACTTCCAGCTTGAATTACAGATGTTGGCAGGGCAGCTGCCCAGGGCATGGAGGTAACTACTGGGGATGGGTGGGGTTCAGGTGAACACTGGGGATGGGTGGGATCTGTTCCAAGCCTCTTGCTGTGGTAAACCCCAGGGTCTGGAAGCCACAACCCGCTTGCCTCAGTTTCATTTCCCATTGATGATGGCTCCACAGCAATATAGGATCTCTTGCTGATCCACAGTGGGTGGGTGGGTGGATGTCTGAGTTTCCTCTCTTCCATCTACAGGACTTTACCATGACCCTCTACCTGAGGCACTACTGGAAGGACGAGAGACTGTCTTTTCCCAGCACTAACAACCTCAGCATGACGTTTGACGGCCGACTGGTAAAGAAGATCTGGGTCCCCGACATGTTCTTTGTGCACTCCAAGCGCTCCTTCATTCATGACACCACCACAGACAACGTTATGCTGAGGGTGCAGCCAGATGGGAAAGTGCTATACAGCCTCAGGTGGGGAGAAAAGGGGGGCTTAGCCAGGACAAGGGGCAGCTTCACGAGTTTTCACATTTTGCTTTTTGGCTCTAAACTTAACATTAAAAAAAAACAACTAAGTTTATTTATGAGTAGTAGAAATTTTAAAGAAAATCAGGGCTTAGCTCAGCAGGTAAAGAGACTTTCTGTTAAGCCTGACAATTTGAGTTCAATCCCCAGAACCCACATGGTGGAAAGAGAGAATAGATCCTGCAAGTTGTCCTCTGACCTCTGTATGCATGTTGTGGTATGCCCCTCCCAAACACACACATGCACAAAACAAATAAATAAATATAAAAATGAAAAAGAATTATTCAGTCTTGAATATATATTTGGAATAATTTCTCAAGCTGATACTGAGGGTTTAGGCCCTGCCTGTATGTTATTTTTAAGTATTGAATTTAAAAGTTTATTTTTCTAGTAGGAGTCAGAGAAATAAAAACTTGTTCTCAAAGACCCACATGTTCCTAGTGTTAGGGTCCGTGACTCGGTGGGTCTCTTCTGGAGAACAAATGCACGAGTATAGACATGCAAAGATCAAGCAGAGTCTTATTAAACCAGCTAGCTGGGGCTGACCGTCCTTCCAGGACACGCAGGTCTGGTTAGAGCGATCGACCCTGAGGCAATTTTAGGTAAAGATTATATAGGCTCCCACAACCGTTACACAAAAGCCCGCGTTTATACAGCCAATAGTTTCAAAGCAAGCATTTCACAAACCAATAACTTTAAAACAAGAAAAATGTTACAACTCCCTTCAGGTGTCTCAATCGGGGAGAGATCGTTGGTATGTGCCTGGCATGACTCTTTCCTGTTATCTTGTGTAAGCAGACATGTCTACATGACATGACACAGAACAGGTCAGGCTCCGGGGACTGTAGCACTTGTCTCTATCTCCGGATGCCTGTGTCGTGTCTCCAGTTGAGTTAATTGGTTACAAGCAGTAAATTTAAACAAGTAAATTCAAGCAGTAAATTCAGACAAGCAGTATATTCAAACAAGCCGTAAATTCCTCTTTCCCTAACACTAGCTTCCTAAATCCTATGTTCTGGTACATTTTAAAAGTTAGGTTTAAAAACATTCTTTTGCCTTGTTTGGCCAGCATAGTTTCTAGCCAGAAAACTATGAGGCTCTGGGCAACTTACGTTAATGTCATTCTGAGCATCACTTTTACAAAGTCAAGGGCAAAATCTAGGGCTTGAGGGTGTATAGCTTAGTGATACAGTGCTTGCCTAGCAAGTGTGAGGCCCTGGGTCCCCCCTTAGGGCTGTCAAAAGGAAAAAAAATAGGAAAGAGGAAGGGAGGGAGAAAGAGATCAAATATCATCTCACAGGCTCAGATGCCTCTGAGTGTTTAGCTGCCTGAAAGAGGTAGTCTCTCTCAACACAGCATAAAATGAAACCTTTGCACAAGAACAGCTTTAGAAACTGCAGTCCTCACGTCCCTGGGGTGGAGCCAGCTCAGGCCCTCACAGAAGGGAATGGCCACTGGCTGTGATTGACTCTCCTATGCTGTGTGGATGGTGTATTTCAGGCTGACAGACTTTGCTCAGGGCTTGTGTTGAAGAATGGCAAAGATGGACCTACATACCAATGTCTGTCTCTATCCAGCAAAGGAATATTCGTAAAGATCCCTGGCTTAGAGATAAGCAGTGATTATGAGATTTGCCTTTCCATGATTTGCAAGACCATCTCCTACAGGAAGTCCTCAGAGAGGTTATGGATTTGCAATTTCTTTTCTAGCGATACAAGGCAGATGCATAGCAGTGTTCACAAATGAAATAAAATATGCAATACTCTTTATTTATAACTTCCATATATTTATAATCTGAACAACATTTCCTACTTTTTCCTTGTAAAACCCATTATCAGTTTTTATTATTCTGCCATCAACACTAGTTCTACAAAGTGAGAGTGCAAATAAATATTTGTAAGCATTTGCTTGCTTAGATTGACAAATGTGTATGGATTTGAGGAACATGTTTTTGTTAATGTTAGTAAGACAAAAGTGAGAAATGAAGATTGTGTAGAGTTTTACTCACTCTTTAAAGATATATGCACTTTCTTGCTGACTTGGATGACAACTCTCAAACGCTGGATGAATATTTCCTGGATATCTGTGTCCGTCTCAGGTACTGGATAAACACACATTTTTAGGCTTGCTCAGCTTTTTTGACTAGATGATGGACAAAACAATAGATCAGCCCTGACTTGCTGATTCAAAATAGAAATATCAAAATATTTTCCTCTCCTTGAACGTGGATGGTGCAAGATATGCTGGCTCAGTAATGGCAGAACATTTGTGAGCCCTGGATGTCCTGATGAACAGGGCACATTGGAGTAGGAGGGATGGAGGTTCAAGCAGCTGCTGACTTGGCCCTCTGATGGGTGAGCTTCTATTGTGATGGGCATTTTACCAGCACAATAAAGCATGGCAGCATCACCAGTAAGAAAGAAACTAGGAACCTGTCCTCCTTCCTAACTCATAAAGACACCAAAATGGCATGGGGTGAGAAGCAGGCCTCGTCAGGTCCACATCTCTGACACCTTGATCTTGGAATTCCCAGCCTTCTGTTTTTTATAAATTATTCAGTGTTTGTTTTTTAATAGAGGCACAAAGAGATTAAGTTCTATTAAAAGCAAAAGTAATAGCTGCTCAAAACCCAGCTCTTCCTAATGATGTAACTGCACTTTACAGTCAGCTATGTCCTGCTTTGTTTGTATCTTTGAAGAGCAGGGTGCTGCTCACACCTCTTCCCAGCTCCCCTCCCTTCGGGGGCATCAGGCCAGTAGCTTGAAGTCAGCAATGGTGGCAGTATTGTCACCAGAAACCAGAATATTCTTTTTCTTAAACATTTAAATTCAAAGTGTGTGTGTGTGTGTGTGTGTGTGTGTGTGTGTGTGTGTGTATGTGTGTGTGTGTGTGTGTGTGTGTTTTGGCAATGAATTATCCAGATCATTTCCACAACTTATGCATAGCAAATTTTGTGTGGCTGAAGGTAAAACTGTACGTTTAACACCAGTCAGCAACCGATAATCATGCTCTGCTGTGAAGTCCCCCACTGAATGGGAGACTTTCCATCTATGACTACATGATCTGTGCTTGTTTGCTTTCCTGTGTTAACTCTGAAGCAAAACCATCAGGTGCTGCCAAATGCTTGCATGATAGCATAACGAGCCCGCTCAGTGCTCTGCAGCTACTATGGTCTCCATGGAATTATATGCTAAAAACACCTAAACCCACAAGTAGATATTATCAATATGAAAATATCAATAATATAAAAAGTTACAAATTTGGCAACTGGTATAAGTGACACAATACTGTGCACAACATTGCACGTCAATATAGGGATGGAAGAATCTGGATTTACCTCAAACAGGAGACTAATACATGCTCTTAAAGCTACAAACACACACACACACACACACACACACACACACACATAAACACACACACACACACACACGCACAGAGAGAGAGAGAGATTTCATATGGGTATGTTGGCTGAGAACATTGCTTCTTTCAATTGAAGGTGCTGGTGTTGGCAGAGATATTCATTTACGTTGGAGAGAGCCTGATGTTAAACATAGGAGAACACCAAAGGGGTGTCACATCTAAGAGTCTGTCCTGATCCTGCACATTGCTTAGCATAGGAACTAGAGAAAGGAGGCAGGCCCACTAAGGAAGCAAAGACCTTTCCTGTTAGCTTCGTCTTGTACCTCTCTTCGGCAGGCTCTGAAAACTTGAATTTTACCTTTTCATTTCCAGGGTTACAGTTACAGCAATGTGCAACATGGACTTCAGCCGGTTTCCCTTGGACACACAAACATGTTCCCTGGAAATTGAAAGCTGTGAGTAGACTGGAGCCGGTGCCAGCAGATCTTAATACCTTTCTCAGTAGCAGACAGACTAGGTGTTACTTATCTGCGATGATGCTTTTTTAAAAAAAATATTTTATTTATTATTGTTTTTAAAATTTTATTTTATTTTTTAATTTTATGTGTATACATGTATTGCCTGCATGTAGGTAAGTGCATCTGTGTTGTGCAATGCCTGCCGAAGTCAGAAACGGCTGTCGGATCCTCTGGAACTGGAGTTACGGACAGTTGTTAGCTGCCATGTGGGTGCTAGAATTCGAACCCGGGTCTTCTGCAAGAACAGTGTTCTTAACCACTGAGCCATCTCTCCAGCCCTGTAATGATACTTTAAAAGATGATTATTTAGGTCTATGATAACGTTAAAAGTCAAAAACAAATATGGGGTAAAGTTGTCTATAATTGAACTCTTCCATGTTCTATGGATCTAGGAGTTCTCACAACATCCTCGGGGCAACTGCTTGGGCACGGGAATAGAAATTAATGACTATGAATCTCCTCCCAAGCCCTTGACCCAATAGACACTACACACACACAGAGAGAGAGAAAGAGAGAGAGAGAGAGAGAGAGAGAGAGAGAGAGAGAGAGAGAGAGAGAGAGAGGAGAGAGGAGACTTTGCCTGGTTCTATTACCCTTCCAAATACCATTTCTGCTAAAAAACATAATAATATTCCTGACAACAGTAAGTTTGGCAACAGTTGCCATGGGCAGCTGTCTCTGTGAGTTCCTGTGGAGGTTGAGATTGCCATGGATGCCCAAGGGACCTCAGAAAATGTACATGAGCAACAAAAGAGAAAGTAGACAGATTTGACTTTGTCAGCATTTAAACATTTTTGTTCATCAAAAGACAGTATCAACCAAGTCAAAGGCAACCCTGGAAGGGAAAAAATGTTCACAAATCACAAACTGGACAAGGGATGGATACCCAGAACACAAGAATCCTGAAAGCAGCAACAATAAAACAAAACCAGCTTTAAAAATGGGACAAAAACATATATTCTCTGTGTGTGACCAGTGGTGGAACTTTGTAATAGCCTCTGTCTTTTGCAAAAAGAAGTTCCATAACTCGTAATACACAGAAAATATCTGTCTGAGAGATGCCCAGCCCTAAGTGACACATCTACACTGGAACGCCTATACCCAAGGCTCACAGAACATAGCGGAACAGGGGGTGGAGAGAATACTAATACAGCCCTCAACTCTCACCTGTGGGGCTTTCTCATACAACAGAGTGCAATGCACACAGAAGGCCACAATTGGCTAAGTTTTAGACAATAAGAGACTGTAGGGTATGTGTCCCTAGACAAGATGCCTGTATTAAACCTCACCCACTCAGGGCTCAGGGATCATTGTGGAAGAGGGGGTGGAAAGATTATAAGAGCCAGGGTTGGTGCGTGAACATAAGGAAACAGAGTCTTCCAGGCCTCTGGGAACTTGCTAACAATTGTGAACTTGCTAACAATATGAACTTGTAACAATTGTGTCAGCATGCACGTGACCCATGCTGACTCAATCAGACAAAAACTCAGCATAGAAGTGGGGAAATGGACAGCAGGCCCCAACCTTAACTGAGGAACTATTGGCAACTGATTATTGCTGGATGAGGGAGAGTAGATCTTCCATAAGGGAGTGACTCTAGATAGGCTGACTAGATTCCAGTGGATGAACTCACACCGAGGGACATCTGGGTACAAATGCTTGACCAGACAGAACTTAACCTGTATGACAGACTGCATGGAACCCAGTGAAAGGGGGGCTCTACAGAGGGGTGCAGATGGGGGAGGGGGTCTAAATTTGATTAAGATCTATTATATGAAATGCACAAAAACTCAATAAAGAATATTTTTTAAATGGGCCAAAGATATGAATGAACATTTCTCCAAAGAATACATGGAAGTGGCCAAGAGCTGTGAGAAGACACGACTTCAGTAATCACTAGAGGAGTGTCAGCAACAGAGAGAGCTGCCACATCACAGTCATCAGGATGCTTACTGCTCCCTGAAAACAAAGCAGCAGAAAACTGTGCATGAGGATGTGGAGAAACTGGAACCCTTGTGCACAAGAATGTAAAATGATGGGGCTGGAGAGATGGCAGCCGACAACTGCCGTAACTCCAGTTCCAGGGGATCTGACACCCTCTTCTGACCTCTGTGGGTATTGCATGTCCATACATGCAGGCAATACACATATACATAAAATCAAATCAAATAAAAAAATAAAAAAGAATATAAAATGATACAGCTACTGTGGAGGCCAGCATGGCCATTCCTTAAAATATTTAAATCAAAACACCATATGGTTCAGCTCAAAGAACTGAAAGTTCATACACAGCATTATTCACAAGAGCTAAAACATGTGAGCAATCCAAGTGTCCACTGATAATGGGCAAGTTAAAGCACTGGACACATACAATGAAATATTATTTCCTCTTAAGAACAAGGAAATACTGACATGTACTTCAATATGGATGAACTCTTTTGTGTTTTTCAGACAGGGTCTTACTATGTAGCTCTGGCTGGCCTCGAATTTACTATGTAGACCAGGCTGGCCTCAAACTCACAGAGATCTACCTGCCTCTGGGATTTAAAGGGCAATAATATACTAAGTAAAATAAGCCAGACAGAAAAAATACAAATTCTTAGCCAGATATGGTGGTGCACACATGTAACCCAATACTCAGGAGGTGAGGTAGGAGATTGCCCTAAGTTCAAGTCCAGCTTGGGTTACATAGTGAGTACCAAGCCAGCTGGAGCTACAAGGCAAGACCCTGTCTCAAAACCCCAAATATTCATAATGATAATAACAACAATGATAATAGCAAAAGACTGGCTCTAGGGGAGAGGGGGAGATAAAGGATGGTTGGTTATGGGGTTACGGTTTGGGAAGATGAAAAGCATTTTGATGATGATGGTTCCTCAACACCACCAAATGTTTACCACCACTGAACTGCACAGTCAACATAGTAGGATGGTAAAGCATGTAATACGTAAATCTTGCCACTATATGGCAACAACAACCAGAACTAGGTCCCAGGAAGGGCCAGGCTAAGGCAGCAGCAGGGTTAGCTGCCCACCCCAGTTCTCCATACACCTTCTCTGTCTGTCAAGTGATGAGTGCAGTCGGGACTCCCATGTCTCCAGCTTGTATTTGATTCGTTTTTGAGACAGGGTCTCCTGTAGCCTCAGCTGCCCTGGAACTCGCTTGTAGACCAGGCTGGCCTCAAACTCACAGAGATCCACACATGTGCTGGGATTAAAGGCGTGCACCACCCGCTGGTCCAGGATACCTTTCTAAGTGGCCTGTCTCTATGGCAATAGATCAGATAGTCTAGGCTCTAAACATCTGGGACCCAGAGAGAGGGCATGTTAACATTACCACACAGGCAAAATGGACAGCTCTATGGGGACCCAGGACAAAGGGAAGGATTACTTATTGCACAGTGGCTTTACCTTGGTGTTGCCACTTGATCTTGACAAGATATCTATGGGGAGCTTATAAACTCTATCATTCAAAGGTTGGACATAATTTACCTCAGACACAGTAGTAGAGCAGGGCTAAAATGCCAAGCTCTTGTCTCCAGAGCCTCTTCTCCCCTTCCAATAGTGAGGCAGCATCTATCTCCACCTTTAAGTTATGCCATTCAGGGCACTAGAGAAATAGCACCGTGAAACAGATACAGTAGGGGACGCCGTAGCGTGAAAAATCAGACCATAGTATTTGCAGAGTTTCTCTGTTCCCCTCTGCCTGCAGGGCAGCAGCAGGAGGCAGGCTGGGGACTCTAGAGCAGAAGCTGACTCACAGGCCACAGATGAAAGTTCATCTAGGAAACCTCTACTCCCCCTTTCCAGCCTTTTATTGTAGGAATGGCTTATAAAATGGACATGATCTGGACTAATAGCTTGTAATTAACCCAAGTAAAACCGTGTATTCTTGTCTCATGACCCGGGTACCTGATCTCATTTCTTTGGCAACCTCAATTTGGAACTTCACCCAAAAGAATAATGAATGGATGTGGGTATGCTTGAGAATGAACCTATCAAAGTGCTGAGAGACGGCACACCCATCCTCATTTCACACAGTGAAGACTGGGAAGGACACCACCTTGGGTGAATGAGATATTCTAGAACTTGGGATGAAAAGGCATGAAGTCTGCTAAGATAAGGGCAGAGCCAAACTTATACTTCCCTAATTGAAGGTGGAGAAACCATTTTGAATAAAATCGTGGGTTGGACCTGACTCGAGGATAGTTCCAGAAACAGAGTTTGAGAGACAGTTCCAGGAGATAGGTGGTTCCAAGATATCTCTGGGAGAATGAGTGTCCCTGAGTTTAAGCCCACTCTTTTTTTTTTTTAAAAAAAAAAAACCAAAAACAACAACAACAACAAAAAACCCTTATGGCTGGGTATGGTAGCACATGCCTTTAATCCCAGCACACAGGAGGCAGAGGCAGGTGGATCTCTGTGAGGCTAGCCTGGTCTACATAGCAAGTTCCAGGCCAGCTGGGGCTACATGGAGACCCTGTATCAAAAATACCAAAAAATTACCTTATTTATTATTTTTATTTTATGTGTATGAGTGTATTTACTGCATGCATGTAAGTGCACTCCTGTCGTGCAATGTCTGAGGAAGTCAGAAGAGGACACTGGATTCTCCTGGAACTGGAGTTACAAACAGTTACTAGCCACCATGTGGATGCTGGGAATTGAACCCTGGTCCTCTGCAAGAGTAGCCAGTGCTCTTAACAGCTGAGCCATCTCTCCAACCCCCTTGAGCCCACTCTTTTTTTAAATATCTTATTATTTTTATGTGTATGAGTATATTGCCCACATGTATGTGAGTGCACCCATGTCGTGCAGTGTCACGGAGGTCAGAAGAGGGCTTCAGATTCCCCTGGAACTGGAGTTAAGGACGGTTTATAGCCACCATGTGGGTGCTGGGAATCGAACCCGGGTCCTCTGCAAGAGCAGTCAGTGCTCTTAACCACTGAGCCATCTCTCCAGCCCCCTTGAGCCCACTCATAAAAACTAAATTTAAAAGTCAGACTTTTTGTTTAGGAAAGATTACCTAGGGTCATCTTTACTTAAACCAAGTAGTTGTAAATGCTAGTCATATCTACAAATCACCTTCACAGATTAGTGTCTGGTTCAATAACTGTGCTATTGCCAAGCCAGTTGGCATAGGAGGCCTTCCAGCACACAATCAAAGGTTAGGGACACCTCAAAAGAATGGTTTGCACATGGGCAGATTAGACTGCCAACTCTATTAGGCTTTGCCTCAGTCTGTCCAGGCGGCAGATGGGGTTATGCAATTGGACTAAGTGGCTTACCTGGAAGGGGTGGGGCTGGAAAATGGTAGCCTACCTCAGAGAGGGCGATGGTCACAGTCATTCCCACCTTACTCTGGGGAGGTGGGCACAACCAGGGGCCCTAAGAGGATCGCTTGTGCTAGCTCCATTTCTTCACGAATGCTTCCTGGCTAGACTGTCGTCCTTACCGCCTGTGAGTGTGTCAAGGATGGCCATCAGTGATGAACTACTATACTTTGGAAGAAGAAAAGAAAGACTCATGGTTTGTAAGGTTGAACCACATGAAATCTTGCCAGTATTTAACCATCTCTGACCTACAAAACAGCAATGTCATTTGGTTTAACCTAGTAATAGCAGGCTAGATTATGGGGTAAGCCTTTTTTATAGGAATCATGAGACTTTAAGCTTGGGAATTTTTCTCTGATAACTTATGAAAGACTGGGAAGTATCTGATTTGTCTTTCTGTGTTATTTAGATTGCAATTTGCTACTCAAACTGTCTTACCACAACCCCAGAAATTTGTGTGAGAAATTAGGGTACATAGATCCCATGCAGCTCACAGACAGATACAACTTTCCTGCCACTCCATGCTTGACGTTGTCTCCCGTCTTTCCAGATGCCTACACAGAAGATGACCTCATGCTTTACTGGATAAAGGGCAACGACTCCTTAAAGACAGATGAGCGAATATCACTCTCCCAGTTCCTCATTCAAGAGTTCCACACTACTACTAAACTAGCTTTCTATAGCAGCACAGGTGAGCGTGAGATGGGGACTGGGTGTCAAAGAGGCTTCAGCTTGGCCAGATGGTTCATCTTCAATTTTAGGAAAGATGTGACTTGGTTGTCAAGTAAACAGAGCTTTTCAACAGAGTCCTACATGAAGTCTAGTGGATGGTAAGCAGTTGAGGAGAAGTTTTGTTTGAGGCAGGGTCTCACTCCATTAACCAAGCTGGCCTGAACTTTTTATACACCATATAGCCAGACTGGCCCTGAACTTATCCTCCTCCTGTCTCAGCCTTACCAGGGCTAAGATTACAGGTGTACACCACTACACCTAGCTTTGGAAGTAACTTTTTGACCTACCAATGCATCAGAGATAATAATCTAGGAAATATTAGTAGAAGCTCAAACATAAGCCATGTGAGTAAGTTTATTCGAGACAATCACTTTGTGAAGCTAGCACCTCATCCCGGAACTGATTGCCAGAGTCCCTCATCTAAAGCAAGAAGTAAATCCACTTCAGTCTACCGTTTTCAGTAGCCAGGCTCCTGGGATGGTTCACTCATTCCCAAGCACTTTGAGAATGACCTGTGGTCATTCTCCTATGGACCTGGTTGTGGCTTTATGAGTCAAAGATCTGTTTAGACTTGTCACCTCCTGTTACCTGAGGTCATGTGCTGTAACTTCCTCCTATAGCCTGCCTCTGCTGGTAAATAGCTAAGCTTAACATTCTCTATTGCTAACCTCTGCTTTGACCAATCTCCTCTCAAGTGAGTTTGCACAAATCTTCATGAAGCTTCTCTTGCTGAAAACTTTCATGACTGTTCATGGAAATTTCACCTTGTAAGCGCACCCTAATCTTTCCAATCTGTAACAGAGCATCAGTACTCCAACATAACAAGACAATCCAGCTCCTCCCCTGTACCATTTACCCTCCAGGCTTAGTTCTTTTGGCCTTCAGTCTTCTGAAAAGCCCTCCACCATCACTTGCTGGTACCAAGAGGTATGTTATATCCCATTCAGTGTAATCACCAAGGTACCAAGTTCTAAGCTAATGCTGCTAAGCCTCCATCTACTCTCCATCCTGGGCATCACCTGTCATCCTCACATCCTTTTCTTTTTTGTAAAAAACAAGACAGAGGAAAGCCTAAATGGACCAGTGATTACCACCAGTGATTACCACCAGTGATTGCCTAAATAAAATATTATGTTTATACCTTAAAACACATTTCTTTCCATCAAGAAACCCCCAAAAGGGAGCCGGGCATGGGGGTGCACATCTGAAATCCCAGCACTTGGGAGGTGGAGGCAGGAACATTGTGAGTTCACTGCCATTCTCAGGTACATAGTGAATTGGAGGCCAGCCTGGGTTACCTCAAACCAGAGCTGGGGGGGGGGGGGGG